AATAGGGATGGGAGGGGAGGGGAGGGGAGGGGGGATAGGGAGGTCAGCAGAATACAACTGACACTAGGATTGCAGTATGTATACACATGGATGTATCACCAATGTGATCCTGCAATCTGTACACGTGGAAAAATGAGAATTCATACCCTATTTGAATCAAATGTATGATATGTGAAGATCATTGTATTGTCTTGAACAACTAATAAARAATAAAATAAACTTATTGTTAAAGTTTGTCTTTGTTCCTTGAGAAGGGAGTGGTAGATGGAGAGTCACGAGTTGACGAACAGCGGCCCGCCAACTATGAGGCTGAGACCCACCAGCTCCCCACCAGAGCCTTTATCCTSTGCTCTGATGAGAAGCAACCTTCATCCACCCTGCAATGGCACAACCTGTTTGGTGTCTGACTCAATCTCTGATTTAAAGTCACCCTAGGTCTGTGGCAGCCTCCAGCCTCTGGTGTCTCTTGTGTCCTCCCCCTGCTCAACAACAGTCTTTGTTTTCTGAGAACAGGCAGAAGGTAGGGAAGAAAAAAGCTAGAATGTTCCAGACTCCCTGAATCAGACAATCCAGGAGGAGCCGTTTCACTGTGACCAGCCTGGATGAGTCACCAGAAACCAAGCTGCACTATCTCCCCACCAAGATAAACACCTTGGACTGACGGATGTTAATCACAGCAAATATGAACACAGTGCTTTTGCTTCCTTGGTTAAAACCTCACTGAGATAAGGTTTCCAGAAAAAAATATAAGCTCAGGCACCATGCTTTCAGAGAATCCTGCAGGATTTATGGCCACAGAAAATAAGTTTCCCTTTAAAACTCAAGCTATTTCTGACTTGACCATGTGGCCTTGTTAATTAATAATCTCCCTAATTCCACAGAGAAAATTGGAAAGATTCTAAACATAAAAGTTTTCTTTTTCTTAAAAACATTTTTTAAGGATTTTTTACAGGCTTCTGCATTCTATGGATGGTTGGGCTGATTCTAATCTGAGCTCAGGGCAAACACTTAGTTGATGGAGAAGTTCCACATGCCCCTTTACTAGATTAACTATAGTTTCTTCTCTAAAAAAAAAAAAAAAAAAAAAAAAAAAAAAAAAAAAAAAAAAAAAAAGAGGAAAATGCTTTGGGGCTCATGATTTTATGGTGAATTCACATTTGATCTTGTGTGCCTAAATTAATGTGTTTCTCTAATCAGTTTTACTTTGTGTCACTATGCAGGATTTTTCACTCTGTCTTTTTACAGAGGCCCATTTTTCTGGGGATGGTGGTGGGTCAGATAGCCATCAAGGACAGGTGGCCGATTATCCAACCTTTGCTTTCACTCTCCATCAGGCTGTTAGATTTCAAACCTGACATTTCCATCTACATAGGCCTGCTCTATATTTAAATCATAATGTAAAACTCTGATTGGCTCTATCTTAATTTCTAAACAAGTTAAATCTAACAAATGCTTTGATAGAAATCCATACAATTACTTCCTACCTGTGGAGCTCTTCTTAAAGTAAAAATCTTTGCTTCTTATCTGTTTTGTGTGTACACAGTGTTTTGTACGTTGTCTGTGTCTGTATATTATATATGTGGTATCAAAATTGTCATATAGATAAATGAGCACTCATAAGTTAAAATTAAAATAAAAATGGATCCAAACAGTTGTAAATTAATTCAAGTAACTTAAAAAGAAATTCAGTTTAAATTGGTAAATAGATAAAAGATGTCTTTAATATTACAAAATCACAAGTTTTTCTAGTTGGTTTATATAAAATGTCTAAAATGTAATATCCATTGCTTATAACAATTTTTTGATAGTTAATACTATCATCTACATTTGATAGATACATAGAGATAGTTAATACTATTATCTACATTTGTTTGATTTCTTGGCTTTTTATAGTTAAGAATAAGTAAGTTAAATTTAAGACTAGTGAGATTAATTAATGTTTTTATTAAAGGAAACACATTAATTTACAAAGTTAAATTGCTTAAATATCATCTACTAAATATAGAAAGATCAAGCTCTCCTAATTAAAATATATTTAAACATTAGATGTGTTTATAATTTGGTTAATAAAAAAGAGTATAAAATTCCTTTGTTTTCTATGTTCTCACTGAGAATGGAGTTGCTGGGAGTTAAGATTCTGTCAAGTGTGTTTATATACAAGAGTCTAAGACTCTGAGTCCTCAGCTCTAATAAGAGGCTTTATAATCAGAAAAGCAATAAAACAATCTACTAGGC